TCTTAATTTTTAGTTTATTGTCCAGCACTTCTGAAATGTTTCCTCAACGGGGATCCTCCTAAACTGTGGGAATAGCGTACATGTGTCTTCTTGCCTTTCTAACAGTTAAATTACCTGGCAGTAAATTAGCTACAAACTCATTCAAACATGATGTAGCATTAAAATTGTTCACCATAAAATATTGGAAAACTTCTGATGGGAGATGACCTGATAGTTTGGGAAGAGGAGGAGAGATTAGGAGTGTGACGAGAGGTAGCGTTGCTCATCCATTCTGATGGCACACCTTTCTTGAGGCATATGGCACTCTCATACAAATTCAAACCAGAGCACAAAGGCAAGGAATAATTGCCCATTAAAACGGCTGTATATTTTTATGGCTTTGATACAGAATCAGCCCCCTGTTGTTTTTTGCATCTGCTACTCTTCCATCTATCCCAAAGCTTTAAAACTTTAATACACAGTGTATAACCCTTAAGTATTTTTTACCAGTTCATTTTCCTGCTCTTGGGATCTCAAGCTTTGACAGTGTTCAGACAGTCTTTATTTTCCAATATATATGTCGAGATATAGTGTCTAGAAAATTCACTTAACTGTCATATACATTTAATACAAAATGAATAAAAGCAATGCATATGTATTATATCTTCTGGGAGAAATTAAGACTTGATTAAATTTCATTTGTGAGCATAAAGATTTAAGTCACTCTCCTTCCCCTCATGCCCATATCTGTTTCCTGCGTACAATCGTTAGTTACCTAAATTCTACCCATATACTAACATGAATCTTGCTAATGCCAGAGACCTTTTTATTTGCTTAATCATTGCAATTTGCTGACAAGATTTCGTGTAGGAGATCTAAACTGAACTTCCGTGAAGGAGGTACCTTGACAGTATTTCCATGCTTTCAAAGCGTATTCAGAAAAGACACCTTTTGGTTATTTTTGTCTTATCCCTACAGTCACCTTACTGACAGGAATTATTTTAAAACTCCTTGTGCTGTGACCATGGGAAAAAGGTCATGATATAAGCCATTATGGTTTATCAACTAAATTCAGTTTTCAGCATAATAATACCAGTCTTTTGACTTTGTATCCTGTTATATATAAATGTAGAATAAGTAAGTTTAAAGAAGGAATCTTACCAACATATGCTCTTAACATCTTTGGTTTAGACCATAGCACAAGATGATTTGTATTGTTTTTGATCATTTTTATAGTAGGGAAAAACAAGCGCTTTCACAGTGTATTGTTTTAATTCTTTTTTAAGCTATGAGAAAATATCAAATTGCAGTTCTATTGTAGCTGGAGATGTAGGAACTGATTTTTTGTTGTTGCAGTTGTTCATATATGAATAACTGAATCACTAACTGCAGAACAAGTAGGGGCTATTAGATGAGAAAGTTAATTGTTTGGCTTGATAGTTGATTACATACAGTCCTTAGAAACCTCTTTCTTTTTTTAACCTTATATCATCACTAATAAAGTGTAGTTGGAGAAATCTTCCTTTTCCCTGTCGCAGATCAGAAGAATTCCAGTCATCAAATTACTCTGATAAATTTTAGCTAGTTTTGCTTAGAAGTGAACTCAAATGCTTCCCTGCTGAGATTCAAAGACATTTTCGACACCATTATAATAGCATTTTCACTGACTGAGTTTCAGCAGTTTGGCACTAAGGCACTAAGGAAGGTTGACCTACAAACTGTAAGTCATTAAATCTTTACCCCTCCTGGCTGGTACATTCATTGCTTTTGGGGCTATTCCTGGGTGATATTACTTAATGCTCCCTGATGGGAGAGCCCTCTTAATAAAAGTGTTTTTATGAAGTCCATTCTTCAGTTGTGTTCTAATGATGCTACTTCTGTTGGTTGTTATGGGGTGAGGATATTAAAAAGATGGTAGGAAAATAAGCACTCAGGTTATTGCAGACTCCTAACCGTTCCAGATTTCACACCTGGAGTGAAGTAGCATCATTTTTTTGCTGAACTCAAAGCTAGGTGACATGCTCTTGCTGATTATTTTACCCCTGAAAGTAATCTTAATCTTCAGTATTAAGACCTGCAAACAGAAGGTATATTTTCAGATATTCTGTTTTTTAGACCGAACCAGACTAAAAACCAGTTCTGAACCTTTTGGGGATAGCCATAATTCTGTTTTGTATAAACTTAACTGCTAGACCTTGCTTGCTTGTAAGACCTAGTAATGCCGTTCTCAGCTCCGTATTTCTCAAGCTTAGTTCCCATCATAGCTTATTCTCTTCCTGACAGAATTCCAGATCATGCACTAAGGTCTCCAGGCTCCTAGTTGCTTCTATAAGCTTTATTAGAGTTTTGCTTTAGTCTAGACACTTTATGCTTCATGATTAATTTCATTAAGGAGAAAGTGTAAGGTGAGCATAGCAAAACAATGTCATTACTTCAGGCTTTTCATTTTAACACAGCCTATAACAATCACAGATCCTAGGAAAATGATAGAATTCCCTGTGTGATCTTAGCCATTCCTACGAATGCTGGATGTGGCCTCCGTTATGTGTTTTTGGTTTAATAAGCATTTATGGGCTAGGCAACTTTTCCTATGTTCTCTCTTTTAGCCTTTTGTCCTCTTGCATAAGAGAAAGCGTTCTTTCTCATAAAAACGTAATAATAATTTTTAAAATAATTTCTAGTTCTTTTTACTCAATTGGCTTTGTTAGAGCTATAGCTTCTCAAATCAGGAGATAGATCCATTCTTCCTGTATGTATATAAGATGAGTGGCAGTATGGAGAAATTGGTGAGTTAATGTCAAACAGTGCATTTTACAGAAGAAAGATTGTCTAGGACTGTGAGTGTTCCACTGTGAGTGTTTCTAACCACTGACCCTAATAGGAGCTGGAACTATCTAACCACCTGATTGCTTTAAATATTGCCAGACATACTTGTTAATTAGTAAATATTAATTGTTGAAAAAGGTCTTAGAGCAGGGATTCCCAGACTGTGGCTTGCCAAGCCCACACGCCTAGTTCTTTGCACTAGGCTTGAGCTTAGACTTCTTTGAATTGGTCAGATTTTCTTTACCATTGCTGTTCTTTTCTTGTAAAAGTGTTTTCCATCAATATGTAGACAACTTCAGATGCACGTGTAAATTTTCATGTGCTTATTGTACAGAGTTGTATGCAAAAGTGTTAATGTTTACTTGGGAAGGAAAAAGAAAAAAGTTACATGGTTTGAGCAATAAGTTAATAGTTCTAGCACTACTGTGTATATACTGTTGAATATTCAATACTATTGTATATTTAAAATTACTTATTACAGTATCTGAATTTCCAAAGTGATACTATGTATTTTCATTTTCCCCTATGGAAATACCTTTTCTGCACTTTCCAAGACTCTAGTTCTTTAAGGCTTCGACACCATTGATTGCAAACTTACCAACAACATATTAAGTTCTGTAAGTTCATCCTCCTGATTTTGACACATACTCTTTTTTTTTTTTTTTTTTACTAAAAGAGGAATGGAAATATATTTGCACTTTTTAAAAGGATGCTTTCCTGTAAATGTGTTGCTGTAGTTTTGTTTCGTGTTGTATCCCAGACATGTAAATCCTTGCAAAATTACTGTATAACCTGTTTGTCAGTGAGAGGGATCTAGCAAAGCCTAAAAGGCACGGTAGTAAGGTGATAATGGACAGGTCACCATAATTACAGTCTTTTCCCTTATCTGTTCAGCCGGCTACTTCTAAAAGATGTGAATTTTTCATTTTATTTCAAATTCAAGGCTTCTTTTAAATTTAATGCTAAAACAGATGAAAGACATGTCTGCATTGAAATCAATTCATATTTCAGACTTGAAAAAGTTACTGGTTTATACATCAATACCTCCATTCACTTCCTTTTATTAGGGTATTACTAAAAATATTTATTGATTTTATACCTTTGTGTACTGAAAAAATATTCAACACAACACAGCACAACTGAAGTAACCTGAGTGCCAACAGAGCTGGATTTGATTTTCTTGTCTCACTGGTGATTGCATTTCAGAAATTTCTATTCTAATGTTTCCTAGCTATATGTGTTCAAAGGAAAAATTAAGTAATGAAATATTGGTTAACAGACTGGAAGAGAAAGTAAAGCAGAAAGTTTTGCTTCTCTTTTTCAGTTAAGAAGTTTACAAAGAGAGAAGTTTTACAGGCATATTACAGAAAAACCTCTAAGTTTTCCTGCGTTACCACAGTTCAATTTCTGAAGAAAATATTTTGTCTTAATGGCAATTAATGTTCACTTTTCGTTATTATGACAATATAAAACTATTTGGGTTAATTTCTTTTTTATATGCCTAAATTGTTTCTCTTGGGTCTGAATGTTATCTGAATTCTTAAAGATACTTCTGAACTGTACAGCTCTTGCCTTTGAGGAAATTGCAGGTGTCATTATGAACAAAGTACAGCCCCTATATCTGAGAAAGCTCTTGCTGTATCTTTCTTTCCCCTGCTACACAGTTCAGAGCCAGTTAATAGTCAACTTTCTTAATAAAAAGTCTTGTTACAGTTGTAGAATCATGGAATAATTTAGGGGGACTGCTGGAGGTCAGCTGGTCCAACATGTCACCCCCACCCAGTGCAGGGCCAACTTTGAAGATAAATCCAGCAATGGCACAGAAATATCTCTGGCATTACAAATTTGACCCTGAGCTGAGTGGCTTTGGCCTCAAAGATCTCCTGTTAGCAGCATTGGCTACAGCAGTCAACATTATTTTTAATGAGTGTCTTCTAGGAAAAGTCACCTATGATATTGCCATCTAAATTCCCAGTTGTCTGTTTCCTGTTTGTACACAAAGGTTTTGTAGATATTTTTGAAGATGAGGCCTTTTGTTAAAAGACTAATAATTTACTTAATTTGTAACTCCTGCATCCAGCTACAGGCATGCTTTCATACAAGCACAAACTCTTTGCTACATTAGCAGTATTTTACCTTATTTTGAAATGTTAGACTGATCTGAATGCTTTATATTCCTCTTGTCTTTTCCCCAGTGCCAGGATTTCCTTACCCTGCTGCAACTGCAGCTGCTGCTTACAGAGGTGCGCATCTAAGAGGCCGAGGTCGCACAGTGTACAATACGTTTCGTGCAGCACCCCCCCCTCCTCCAATTCCAGCCTATGGCGGGTAAGTGGATCAGCCTCTTTTACCAATTTCCATGAATCTCAGGCTACGCAGTGTTTGCAACTGTGGTGCATGCTGCTCGTGTCTCACCACAGAAACCAATGCAGCATGCAGCCAATCCAAGCGCCCAAAGTGGTGCACCTTGCACAGAGGGTTGAAAAATGACTGTAATTTGTACTGCCATGGTTGGTAGCCTTAAGCATTTCGGATGTCACATATTGTTATGTAAATTCTCTTGGAGACTGAATGCTATGGAACGGAGAAATTGTTTCAGCTAAAGATGTATTTTCAATGATTGCAAACATCTGGTTATTAAGGAGGTTGGATCAAGTTAACTTTTTTCCTCAAATCACCCACTGAAAGTTGTCTCTGGACCTGAAGGTTTAGGGGTTTTTTTATAGCAGTGCGTTTAGTTTTTCTAGTTGACATCTTTACCAAGATAGAAATGAAGACTGCTTTTCTCAGGGCCACACGCTCTTCAGTACATGCCTACTTAAGTAATATCTTAGGATTTGCCTCTCAGTGTCCTACAGTTAACTAAAACCAAGTAGTAAATTAAAGGAGGAGAGAAATGCATAGTAGTCACTTTCAGAAACTTAATAAACTTAATAAACTCAAAACTTAATAAACTTAATAAATTCAAAAATTTTGTAAAAACATGGCATATTTTGAGGGAAAGGAGGGAAACAAATTCTCTTCATAGCCCTGTAAATGCTGAAACAGAAGGCTTTTGTGTGGTGCATGTGATGTTTAAGCCCTGGTATTGTCAAAAGATTTTCAGCTGTTAGGAAATCTGGCAGTGTAGGAAATCGATAAACTCCCTGGTTCCAAGGCCAGAACAGTATTTTGTGATAACATATTGTAATAGATGTGGCTGTCCTGCCTTGTAGAGCAGCCAGATGTTTTAGATAAAGGGTCGGGAAGGTTTAGAAAGTCTTTGAGTGAAGGAGATGGCTTTGTCTGCCCTCACTAAACTCCCGTTCCACAGCTCCTCTGCTCTCTCTCTGCTCTCTCTCCCCTTGAGGATGATTGCAGCACGAGATCATGCGGTGACCTGGTCCTCCTACTTCAGGGCGGTGGCAGACGGGTGCGTTTCCCTAGTTTGCCCCCTGGACTTTCTTGACACTGTTGAGAAAGAGCTAGTGGAAGGTGTCAAGGTCTGATGCTAGCTCGACCCTTTCCTTGTTGTTGGAACACAGCAATTCTGTGGCTCACGATACCAGGTTTAGGGAGGTGTCGGAAATGTGGGCTGAGACATAATACGATCAAGAACTGCCAGCTAGAAATGGACCAAGCAGTACAAGGTGGTGCAGAATGAGGCACAAAATCTCTTTGTAGATATTGTGATACTCTCGTGTGTTTGGTATTGTCATACTAAGGGAGTACTGGGTGTATTGTTCAGCAGTATTAGCTTGTTTAGATCCCTTACCAGCCTTTTACAATTAAGCTGCCTATATCCACCCCGGGAGGAAGCAGTTTCCCATGATGCATTTATCCTGTTAAGCCAAGAGACATGTCATTTTCTAGACAGATTTGTAAATACATCTAGTCAGTCAGCCATTGAACTGATTTTTGGGGGCTTTTGGAACTTTGCTTTCATCTTGGGGTGAGTTTGTGTGTGTGTGTGTGTGCGCGCGCGCGCACCCGCGCATGCACACATACATGCAAGATTATTTTTAAATACGCATTTTCCTAAACTTAATCCTTTAACAATAAGTTAATATGCTTTAGAATTTGTCTGGTTAGAAAAGGAAGTGGGACTCTGTCCCTCTATTTATTTTAAAAATAAATTCTTAAATCTAAGCAGAGTATTCAATATGTAAGATGATCACATATCAGTTGTTGATTTATTACCAGTTTCATGAATTTATCATGGTAGCCTGTATGACCTTGACCAAAGTTACAAAGCAATGTAAGAAAATATGTACCAGTTATATGGGATATTATTTACCTTTGAATTGGACAATTCTTTTTTCCTTATTTTAGTAACTGTAAAATAAGCAAACACTATGAATCCAGCAAGCAACTTAAATTTGATACTCGCTTTCATTTTTATCTAGAACTGTGGTCACGTATGTGTGCTATGTGTGAGTGTGTATTATAAATCTGCTTATAGTTTAGTTCAGTGACTCAGCAGCAAGAAATACATTGCCTATATATTCGTATGTAATTGTACAGCTTACTGTTAACATCTTTAGGTCACTGACCAGGTCCTCCAAGTCTAATTTAAGTCAGATGCCAGGTATAAACACTGTGAATACCTGTTGTAAGTTGATGCGAAAGTTTGGCACTGCAGTCAGGTTCTAAAATGATTCAGAACTGGGCTCCAAGTTGTCAGCTAAGTAGTTGCAACGCTGTTCTGTGGGTTGCTTCCAAAGGCTCGCTGGACAGGTCTCACCTACTTCCGTGACCTACTGTTAAGGCTGGCTTTGGAGGGAGCCATACTGCTGCAATGGAGCAGTAAGAAGTTAGGTCTTCGCACTGGTCTCATGACTTCTTCACTGACTGAGATAAACCCTTGGTAATCTAGGGCTCACATCTGCCAGTCGGTACTGTTTTCTAATGCGCAGTCTGAGTCTGCGAAAGTTTTTTTTATTGATTAGCTGAAGTAAGAGTCATTGTCTTAATTTAGGTAAATCTTGGTTTAAATATTAGTCAGGTTTAATTTTTTGCATCCTTCTGTACTTTAAAATAAGGCACAGCTTTCTGATTTCACAAAAACAATTTCCAACTTCCATAATTCTTGCATCCATGCAGACCTCAGCATACCTCTGTTGCAGTGGTCCACAGTGGGATTAATAAAGTTTTATTCTGAAATAATTTCTTTGGCCTAGTGTATTAGCTCTGGTACTAGTAACATCATTTACGTAGTAATACCATTTGGAATTTCTTTGAAATGCTTTGTTCCATGTTAAGCCATCATTATTCTGACCTATCAAAGAAGCAGAAAGGGATTTACATCAGGAAAAATCCTTTAATCAACATGAAGTTTTCAGTTACAATGGAAGTAGGAGACAGAGGAAATTACAGAGAAAATAAAGAGATCATAGGAAATGTATCAGCTTATAGAAGGAAGCAAACAACTTTGAATATCATTTATTGATGAGAAAAATGGAAGACCCTTGGAGTGTTGTTTTGGAAATAGTTTTGGAATTAGTAGCAATGTTTCATTTTTTATTCAAGGAAGTAGCCCAGCCTTAGAACCAAGAAACAGTTTAATACTAAAATATTTTCAGTGCTTGAATGTATATTGTAGTCTCTACTACAGGAAGGAAGAGAAACAAGAGACGGTTGTGTTGTGCGTAGTTTGAGAGGTACATGGAGCTCAGAACCCTTGTCAGGATGGGGGAACATAGCTGTGGAGGTATGCGCTACTGTCTGCTTGTCTCAGGGTGCCTCTTAGCAAGATTGACAAACTGGCTTAGGAGCAGAGCAGTTATTTTTTAAGCAGATTAAAGTTCTTTGCTAGTTTTGTCTGCTCTAGGACAACACGTGATGGCTTTGTCTGTCTTCACGTTTCCCCTCCCAATTTTTGCAGTTCTGATGAAGATAACTGAGCAGTAGCTTTCAGACTGTATCTCCATGTCTAGTCTCTTTCCTGCCCAGGGAATAGCAATAGACTTTTCTGTCCTTCATGTCTCTGATTTGGAGGCATGCAATATCTTCTCTTGCTATCTGAAGTTTTGTAGTCTGTGAATAAATGGAGGAAAGAGCTCTCAACTTCGCTGTATGACTATACAGAGAAAGATGAGATGAAAAAACCTGGCAGTTTTGGAGAAGAAATCTCAGCAAACAGGTCTGAGCTGCAAGAGTAGTTCCTGGATGTCCTACTTCTGTTATGCTGGGGGTTGTGTTCATGAACTGAATGAATTAGAAACGTGAAGAATGGACCCATGGAAAATATAGTTGCCTTTAATGACTGGGAACATGGAAGATTTGTGGGTTCCCTTCCATTTTTGTGTGGGGGAGCAGAACAATGTGAAACAATTTAGAGAGATTATAGATTGATGGGTAAATGAATGCAGAGAAGCTGGAAAAGGAAAAAAAGATGAAGGCTTAACCCAGAAAAAATCATTTAGTGGACTGTAGGAAGGAAGGAAAGTTTTAAAGATGGAGGAAAGGGATATAAAAGGTGTTCACATAAAGGCAGAGAATAAAAGAACATAGGAGAATATATACAAGGAAGTAAGGATGGTAAAGAAAAGAGAAAAGGTGTAAGATTGAAAAGTGGAGAGAATGGCAACAAAGGAATAGTGAAAAAAATGGAATAGGAAAAAAATGGAAAAAATAAATTTAATAATATATATTAAGATATGAAATATATCCTTTCTATCACAAATCGTGCCCATGTCTTGATTGTGGAGACAGTTTTCAGCCAATTGCTGTGGTAGCCAACTGTTGCTTGTGCCAGAACACACCATATCATGTATTATACATTTTAAAACGTTCCCAGAACCTGGGATAGCCAGGTATATAAAGAACATGTACAGGAAGATAGGAAGGATGACAAGAACTCAAAAAAAATCTCAAAATAAAATAATTTTTGTGAAGTTGAGGATGGACATAGGAGAAGTATCAGATACTATTGTGGAGCTATTCCCCTCTGTTAAAGTAATTTATTTCAAGTGCTACCTTCCATCTGATTCAAAATAGAAAAGAAACTACATTTTCCAGTATGTTCACTCTCTAATTCTTTTTTCTGAATTTAGGAAGGAAAGATATATAATATAAGCTACTACATTTACTACTTTTATACGGATTTTTTTTTTCAATAGGTTTCTTTCGGTTCTCATAAGTTTCCTCCTACTTTGGACTCTATGCTTTGTATATATTTGCAAGTGTTCAAACAAACAAACGTGTTTTGCCACATCATAGTGATTGATGTCTTCCAGCTTTGTTCTCTGCTATGATGCCCTCGATTAATTTTCCAAAGCAAATAGCATAATTTGTTCATGGCAAGAAATGTTGAAATGGGAAAGAAAAGAAACTGGAATTAGAGAAGACTCTAAAAAGTTTGGAGCAGCATTATTTTTATCAACAATCATAGAAAAGTTTCAGTTCTGTATTTACGACAGTGAAAGTTCTGTTATTAGAATGTCCAAAAGGTGTTACTTCAATATTTAATCTTTTCTTTGGTTTATCTTAAATGAGGTCATAACTGCATCTCTCGTATTAGTTGTTTGATGAAGTATATAAAAGGGTACTTTGATTTCAGCAGAGACCAAAAACTGGCCTTATTAGCAATCAGAAAACGGAGAAGTTTTGTTTCTCAGGTGCTTTCTCTTGCCTGTGATGGAGGAGAAATATCGGACTTTAATAACCATGTTTCCTATTGCAATGACTCAAGTCATGATTGTGATGCCTGCCTGTTACACTGAATCAATCACTCCATGCACTTAATCTGCTTCAGGTTATTTCTGTTAACTTGTGCAGATTGTGTGTATGGCTGAGGGCTGTGTATACTCAGCTGGTATGAAGTTACTGAACTAAGGTTTGCGCAGTCGAGAACTGTCTTCTTATGCCATTGATAGATTAGGCGTTCAACCTAATCCTTTTGAAAGATTACTTTCAAAAGTAAGTAATCTATTTACTTACTGTAAAGAAACTGTTAAAAGACACAGAGAATGAAATAAAGCAGTTGCAACAGTGCAAAGCAGATGTATGATGAGTTGGTGAGAAAATACTGTTTTATATTTACCAAGAAATAATTTCAGGAGATAATTACTGCATAGCCGTAACATCACTTAGGGGCACATTTTCACATTAAATCAGGATTTCTGTATTCCCTGATTTTTCTCCTGCACTGTAAAATCATAAAGTACATCTGCATAAATCCCCCAAATTTATTATTTTAATACATCGAGCTAGTGCATTGAGATAGCATCCATTTCTGGGTGAAGCCATTCAGATTACAGTAATGTGGTTACTTCCAGACTCTGTGTTGGCTTATAAGGAACTGCTTATCTGATTTATCTGTCTGTCAAGATAATTTTTTGAATGTAAAGTGCAAAACAAGTTGTGGTGAGATGAGTCCCTATGCAATATATTCAGTCTCTTCAGAGGCTTGAGACTTATCATGTGTTCTCTGCCTACAGCTTCAGGGAGAGAAGAGGGGATGATGAGCGAAATTACCCTTAGGAGAATTATTTACTGAAAAAAAGAAATAAAGAGAAGCACAGGAGTAAAACATAGCTGTTGGTATTCTACACTTTGTGTTTCTGATGAAGGGCACAGTTATAAAAGAAAATTGACTCCACTGGTAAGACTGAGTCACAGGAGTCAACAAATGATAAAGATGGTGAATAGAGCAAATATACTCTGAAAATCTATGAAAATGTGAAGAAAAATAAGAAACAAACTGCAAAAGAAGCAGCAGATTCTATATTTAGCATCAATGTCCTATTTTAAGATTGTATGGAAGAAGCAAAATGAAATCAGTTGATTTCTTTTCAGCATGCATGTCCTGCTTAGGAATGTTACACTCATGTGCCTGATTCTTACTACTTCCTTCCTCTTACTGCCAGCCATGTTTAATGATGGAGTCATCCATCCATGCTTCATTTCAGTGTAGAGTACGTTTTTTGGTATATCATTTATCAAGCAGTTGCAAATTCAGAATTCAAAATAAGTTTACATCTGTACATAAGTGAGCATTATATGTAAAAGGAAGGCCTAGATAAATGAAGTAAGCGATCCAAGATTACGACTGGCTGCATTTGGGAATTCTAAGTACGTCAGCCCCTATTCATCTTGCATCTTTTTCACTACAAATTCATAGATCATTGCAAGGAGTAAGACAAAAAGGTCCTGTTTCTGGCACATGTTTCTCAAACACGTTGTTTTTTAAATTGCAATGCTTAATAATAATTGAAAATAGTATGTTTTAACATGCTAATACAGTAATACCCTTTTTTTTTTTTTTTAAACCAATTAGTCAAAGTGATACAGAATTAGATTAGCACTTAGCAGTTGAGGCAGTCATGATTCCTTAGAGGTTCCTATAAGACCTTGTATACTTTTTTACTCAGAGCCTCTGTTTTTCAATAACGATTTTTTTTCTGGCATTAATCAACCTTTCATTTGTTCAGCATTTCTGTAGTTATTATTAATGTCTCTTATGATAATGGAGATAGCCAGTTAGTTTTGAAATGTACTTCTGAGGCAATTCTGTGCTGCCCCTAATCATTTTAAAGGTTGGACTCCAGAAGCAACAGGTAGACAAAAAAAAGTATTTTTGTCTCATATTCTTTTTCAGATCAAAAGAACTAAAATAATACTTCTATTTTCCCCATATGCACTGATGCATCATTAGTTTATCTCACCAGTCATCGTTAGGAACTTAAGTATTTCATGTTAGATAAGTCCCTCACCAACCGGAAAATATATTGAAGATATATTGAGAAAGGGGAACCTTTCTCAACCTATTGTATTACTCAGAGTTTTGTTACCTCCTAAGTATAATATTAAGCAGTATTTTTGAAGCACATCTTTGAGATGGCTGATTTTTCGTTGCGTACTGTAATTCCAAGTAGAGTACTGCCTGTGTAACTCGGCGTATGTTGAACGAGGAGAACATACGTCTTTGCTGGAAGGTACTGGAATGCTGGAGGAGAGTAGCGCTGAATGCCCTCTTTACATGGGCCTTTTTGGATTAGTTGCCCATTAACCTCTTGCAAAACTGTTATTTGAATTGCATGGTTCCACTAAGGTTTTAGGTTTTTTTAATCCTGTTACAAAAACAGCACAGCCTTATCCTTATTTTCTTCAACTCTTGTGCTGTGTACAGAACTGGTAGCCTGACGAAGAGAACAGCTGAAAATGCAGAAACCCTTTGAACTGTGTGTTACATATAGCTGCATATTACTGAAAATAACATCTTGAGTTATGTATTATATATAAAAATGTGCAGTTTTAGATTTTTTTAATGAGCATTAAATAATTGTATACAATGTACCACAGCACCAACCTGGGTAGCGTCTTTTTGACGCGAAGGCTGAGTTTGGCCTCTAAATAAAGGAATGAGTAATCCTTTACAGAAGATATATGAACGTTTAGGATATGGGGTCCTTTTCTTTTGAATGAATGTGTATTTATTCAAATGCATGTCGTTTGAAAAACAAACTTACTACATGAAATTCCTGATAAGGTTCTCCATCTAAACTTCCTATCATGATCTTATAAAACTTGTTCCGTGCTGTTCATGATTGTGTACTTCTGCCTCACACTCATGTGGAACGTTCTGCTATTTCTTACGTGCAAACAGGTAAAAAACATGTAGTATTTTAAACTACTTAAAATTACCAAAGCCAAAATGTAGGTACATTACCATGTAAGCAGTAGACTTTCTGAATACTACCTATGTAGACCAGATTTGGCATATGCTGTTCTGTAGATGTAATATGTGGAAAAATACATGAGTCAATTTCTGACCTTACTGAAGTGAGTGGCAGGGACTCTCTGATCTAAGTGGAGCCAGGATTTCACACATTATTATTCCATAGTAAACTTTTGTCATTGATAAAGTGTTACGTATTTTCTGTATATGTATGCATATGTATGATTTCATCAAGTAATTCTGACTTGGACACATACCAGTTCAGCCCTATGGGTTTGGGTCTTACAAACTCAATAGATCTGAAAATAGAATAGAATAGATTTCTGATGTGAAAATTCTTCTTAGTATTGCAAAGTGGCTTAGGATAGCAACTTGATGATAGCTAGTATTCCCAAACTGAAAATACCGTTGAGAAAAGCCCCCAAAAACAAACAAACAAACAAAACTCCACTATTGTGTGCTCCCATATTTAGCTCTTGAAACAGCCTGGGTTGATTCTATTGATATACCTATTTTAAGTTGCAGAACTGTCAAAATAAAAGCAAAATTGTAATTACGTATGTAATTGGTAGGCCACCACTGCATAGTTCCAGTTTTACTCAGCGTAACCATTTAAGCCATCTTTATCATACTGTGTCTTTCATCCTGAAGGCTTTAGAATCTAAAATTTGAACTGTTCTCACTGACAATTTATCTTAGCTGAAATACAGCGATCTCTGGGTAAACTATTAGCAGCAACATAACAATACTACTTTTTTTTCAGGTAAGAAGCAGTAATGTATCCAACCAAAACTGCAGGGACAGTTCAGAACCATAGTCATATTCACCAGTGTTGTAAAATGATGAAGTGAGGAAGGTTAATACTTTTCTTATACAAATAATGCTATGATATTCTTAACAGAAACGTTGTCACTATTTGAAGTGCGTATCAAGCCAGCAGTGCAGTGTCTATAAGTACTCTCATGTGTGTTTAGGTTGAGGTGGTGCGGTTTGACCCAGGGGGTAGAGTACTACCACTAAGATTCTTTCACCCATTCCCTCACTGTATACACTTTCGTTTTGTTTTGTAATGACAAATACCACTTTTTTTCAGAGAGCTGGCATGATTACAGGGCAAGAAAGTAGGATTTCAGGAAATAACATTATGTTGACGTAGTAAAACTGATGGTAGGATTGGCCCACTGAAAATTTTAAAGGAAAATGCTGGTAAATTGGGGTTTCTTGAAAAAAATTATCAAAAGTTTTCTCCAATTCTGCCATGCTTCGCCTCTCTTTGACTAAGCATTTGGCATACTTTATAAGGATCTTATATTCAGTACAGTTTCACCTCTGATATTACTACCAACCTCCTTAACCAACGTGCAGAGTGCCTTCCTTCCCCCCTCCCTTTGTTCTTGTGACAAGGCTAACCTCAGCTGTGCCGGGGTTGGTGGCATTTGCATGTGGAAATGCACTAATATGGATGTTTTTCTTTGTGTGTGCATCCTTGCAGTGTTGTATACCAGGATGGATTTTATGGTGCAGACATTTATGTAAGTATTCATTGATGTGCATGCTGTCCTTGTACATTACCAGAGTCATTCTTTTTGCAAGTTTGCTGCCTAGCTTGACTCTGTTTTGTCTATTTACCATCCCTTGCCTGTCAGAAAGAATTGAGAAGAATATCTCTCATATTGGAAGACCTTTCTGTTCATTACATCTATCATTGTTCAGTGGAGCTGAATTAACTCTTCAATCAAATGCTGAATGAATGCAAAAAGATGTGAAAAATGCAGGGGGGGAGGCTTCTCCCTTCAAAATTAAAGTTCTAAGAAACATGTATAAAGGTTAAAAACAGAACAGAAACATTCCTCTGCAAATCTCTAATACTTGTTCTTAAAATCAAAGCAAATTGAGTATTATTGACACCTGAGGTCTGAAAACCCTGTATGGAGGGACGTGGACCCAATTAGGAGTTCCCAAGTCCAGGCAACATTTGCTTATATATAAGTCCTGTGGTGACAGTAGAGCTTAATTACATAGTCAGTTGAAGATATGGCTATGTATTGTCCTTAATCTGCATAGACTTCTGTCTGCTCTTTTAAAATCTGCCTATTTCAATTTAAATGAAATAGGTAGAAACTGCTCATGGAAAAAGGAGTGATTGTGTTTATTAGTAAGAATTGATAGGACTGGATCCACCATTACCTACCTCACATTAAATCCTCACCGGCCACCAATTTCATTTTAAATAACACATCTCTTTTTTTTTTTACGTTTATTACCAGTACTGAAGTTCTGAAGTTTTAAACTTGAATGTATACACAGAAGCTACTTAGTCTGAGTACACAAGAAGTTTCAGATGATTGAGGTTGAATTTCACTCTTCTAAAAGTAATTAGTTCTTACCCCCTATATTCACAGTCTTTAAAAACACATGAATGTAAAATATTTTATCAATATTCCACTAATCTTTCACATTTTTTATCATTTTGATAAAAAAAATCCAGTCCTAAATTATTGGTATTTAGGCATTGTCTTTACTGCAACAGATAGCATTCTTTAACGTGATTGTGCTTCTGTTGTACTGTCTCTCTTGAGATACAAAGCAATAGATTAGGTGAAATTGGGATGAACATTAAAAATTCAGTAGGTAGTGCTAGGAAACATTGCTCATATCAATAAGCTCTTAGAGCGATTTCCAAGAGAAAAGAACTTTTCGGATAAGTTTTACATAAAAGGAAAACAATTTGAATTTGTGGAAGAAGTAGGTACAGCTTTTCTGATGGGGGGGAAGGCTAAACATTTGTTTGAGTAGTTTAAAAATATATTGAATTATTATGGGTTAAGATTCTCTCTCTGTGTACTTTCGTGGTGTTATCAGAAACACGTTGTTTATGATCCCTGAGAATCATCATTTGCTGAAGGCTAACACAAGTGTAGTATGCTGCTTAAATTTCACCTAAACACAGTGCTGTCACATTTTTGAGCTGTATAGGATATGTTGTACAGTGATGAATTTCTTCAAGTGTGGTTTCCAATTTTCATTTTTCTTCAAACTGTCAAAAGAATATGACATTCATTTTGCTCAGTTTACCAAGCTGAAAATCTGAAAGGCAGCAAGACATCTTCCTCAGGCTTGCTTAAGGTGATAGTATAGGTGGGAACTAAATGTTAATGTTACAGTTGGTAGTTTTGGAATCTGCTGCTGCTGAGACACAGGAGTATCTCTTTTGATGCTTGAAAAAAACACCATTCATACCTTTGATTTTACTTTATTTCATTTTAAGATGGCCTTCACCCTCTCACAGACTCACGCATTTCGGCTCCAGAAGCAACTGATTTCAATGAGGAAGATACTGAAGAAAATTACTAATTTCCAGTAGCTTCAGTTTCACTCTCTGGAGTATTCATGTGCTTAAGAAAATGGGATGACTCTACTGATGCATCCGTTTTCATTCACTTGCAGGCTCGTATCTCTGTTTGCATTCCTTAGTCCCCTAACGGAGAAGAATGCTTACCTTTACGGTAGTGGATAGAATCAAGATATTTTTGTGGAATTTATTTGAGTTGTTTATGTTGTACTTAAGGCTGCTTATTTTGTAACTTATTTTTCTTCACATTTGTTCTTTCTTCCATCTAAAACATTTTGTGGGAGGGAGAAAGTTGGCCAAAGTTAAAAGAAAATATAAAATTCACGGTGTTTTAGTTCTTTGCAGCAGACCAAGTTATTTATTAAATCCCGAATGTTATGGCATAGTTCTACTCAGCTGGTCTTTTAAAGTGCAGAGCAGATGCTTTGTGAAAAAGAGAGAATTAAAATTCAAACAATATAGGTTCTAATAGCAAATGGGAGAGAAAAAGAAGCTCAGAAATACCAAAGAAAGCAAAGCCAAAGGAACAGTATACAGAAAAGACAGACCAAAAATATGTTAACCAGTATTTAAATTTGTGTTTCCTTCTGATAAGATTACACTGAGTAGTGACAGCAATATGGACCGTGCTAAGCTATGGACCATTCTTAACTAGCTATGGATATAGAAATGCTTTGCATGGCAAGGGTATGTGCAAAGGAAGTAGAGAAGACAGAGAAAGATTTTAGTTGCGTAAAAGCTATAGGGAAGACCAAGAACAACAAATAGCCAGAGTGGATTAATAATAACTAGAGGAATAGAAGAGAATAAGAATGTAAAAATAGTAGGAGGGAAATACAGTTTAAAATGAAAAATCCACAGCCACAATTCTAAATGTAATGTAATGCAGTCTAGATTTCATATATTCTTATATGAAATTTGATAACGCCTCTGAAATAGCTGAGCTATTGAATTCCTTTTTTAAATGTGCCTTTAACCAGGAAAAGTAAAGGAGGTGATTAGGAAGTAAGGAAGATCTTTTAAAATTAAGTATTGATTCACTAAGAGAAAAAGTCATTAAAAAAGAATTAAGGTTGCCTGCCAGCAAATGTAGAAGTGCCTAGATGAAGATTGACACGTGTGGAAATGAGAAAATACACTCCACAAAAATAAAACAAGAATACTAACAGACATAGAAATACGCAGTTAAAATAATAGCTCTGCACTATTGCTCTGCTTTATCTCAAATCTGTTGTTTTGTTACCATTGTCATAACGGATGTTTTCAGAACATGTCAGTCTTCAATCCACAAGTGAAATGCTAAGAAAAATGAGGAACTTGCAAACTCTCCTAACACCAGTTTCAGTCATGCCTTGGTAATATGGTTTAAGCATGTTTATCAGTCAGTTTTATTGTTTATAGCAAGATTTTCCAACCTGTTCTCAGGATGCTGGACCTGTGATACTGTAAAAGTGAGGGGCAGAGACTGCGTGCAAGTACAAAGGCAGGTTAGGATTTGTTCTAAGTTACTGGCCAAGAATAAGGCATATTTTGTCAGCATGGGCGTGGAAACAGGTTATCCGTAGGTGCTGCCATCTCTTCTAGCTCAAAGGTATGACAGTATTGAAGGTGGAGCATGTATTTCCTTCCCAAGGAAAGAGCAGACATTTTAGGTAAAAGTGTATTAATTATCTGTGTTCCCTTGATGGTAGGTGGGTGTGCACAGAGTGGGAATCGTACACACAACCAGGTGCCATGAAAGGTGCTGTTCTGAGGCGAAAAGCAGCGATGCGATGTGCTGTTAGCTCCCAAGGCTTTCTTTCAAGTCTTCTGTGTTTTGTAAATGGAGGGATGTGCCATTTTCTGTGACCTACAGAATTAGAAGCGAGGAGTGGAAAAACGCCTTTTCCAAGGGCGAAAGGCTCCCCGGAGAGCAGCAGGCTGGGTCACCTGGAGCGCTAGCCACCACAGCGCTCCTCGGATGCCTGCTGGAAGTCTGGAGATCTGATGATGAAATGTCCTACTGTCCACACTGTTTAAATCGCCATGTCATATGAATGAAGGAAGAGGAAATGACTGTTTCTTCTTTCTATGCTCTGCAGGGCTGGGTGTAACTTATGCCATTTTTAACCCCATTTCTCTCTTTTTAGCTAATAAGGCAGGTATAATTCGCAATACTAGAGAAGGTTTTGAACCTGGATTGATGTTCACAAAATATTTTGAGAACCTTGAGTGAGAGGGTGTATAGGAAGTAGAAATGAGGAAGAAATATTCTCAACATTCACATTACATTGCATAGTAAATGTTAGTAAGAGGAAAAGCCTGTGGAAGAAAATAGCCATGGTTTAGACTGGTTTAAATTATACATATCTACAAAAAAACAGTGACAGCGCATTCAAGATCAAGGCCAAGTAAAATAAATTAGCTTTTTTTTGGGGGGGGGGGGGGGGGGATGATTTTTTTACATGTTTTTGTGCTCTATAGATACGTATTTACCTTGTGTTTGTGGAAATTATACTTACTAGATATGTATATATTTTATTTAAAATTCAGATTTTCCATACATTTTCATTTTATTTTGGCTTTTTTGCAAATTCTGTGATGACTTCCAAACATGATTAAGATTACTTTGTAACAATTGGTTTCTTACCTTCCACTGATCCCACTGACCTTTTCCAATTTGCTTAAACCGCAGAGATGTATAAAACATTGAAAGGAAACTTGTAATGAGCAGCTTCAGGGAATTTGTCTGAGATCTGTCCTTCCTTCCTTCTATCCTTCTTCCCTTCCTCATTCAAATCATTACATTTCTGTTTCTTTATAGAGTAGTATTTCAAGAGCCTGTGTATGGCAATAAGTTACTACGGGTATGGCATGCTGAGTGATGAGAAAACTTGTCATGCTGCTGTAAAATCATACTAATACTCAAATCATTAGGTGAGAATATGGATTCTGTGTGTAAAATGGTAAGAACAGGCTACCAGTTGTATTGTTTTGTATCACAAAATCACAGATTTTATTCATGTTCCATGAAATACATCCAACACTCAGTGCTGTTGAATGTCCCATTCAGTATTTTATACCAGTGAGATATTTCTTTGTATTTGGACTGCAAGTATATGGGCTTTACACTTAATATTTTAAAGGCAACATAATCTGCTATAACATTGCAATAGCATTCTTCTGAAAGTAGCAAATATGGGAGCACAGATAAGGCAGTAAACATTATTTTAGCCAAATGTATTATTTTAATTGATTTTTCAAAATAAGACCTTAAAGCACAACAGTCGGATACTCTCTATTTGAATGTACTTAGAGTGGGAAAATAAAAACAGTTCTAAAACATTTTAAAATGTAGGCACTGCAAATTATGTTATTTATTACTGTATAATTATAACATAATTCAATTTTAAATGTTTCACATGCAGTCTAAGGCATGAAAATAGATACTCAATGTGTCACTCGAGATATATATCCAGTATATCCAGTATATTACTAGTGTATTCATCTAAGATAAATGTAGGCCAAGTTCAAAATCAGAAAATTGTCAAGTAGAACATGTCACACAAGTTTAGAGTTCAGTGGCTTGAATGACAGATTTGCATCCTGATTCCCAATATAAAGTGTACCAAAATTACAGACAACAAAACCAGTAAAAAAATATTTGCTTAAGAATGTTTTAAAGTACGATTTGATAATAGAGTATTCTATAAATATGAAAATATGACATGGACTGGTAGGGAACTATCACTCACGTAACTTGATATCAAAAAATTTAGACATCCTAGATTTAGGTTTCAGAGGTATTCAGGCAGGTTCAATAACATTGGTCTCCTTTTCTTTTTATCGCTTCAGACCCAGTCTTTTCAGGACTCTCACAAATTTAATCCTGTTTGTTGAATCCAAAGTGGGTTAATAAAGTTCAGAGTTTAGCTTGATTGTTCAGCAGCATTTCCTTGATGAATGCAAATCAAAGTGAAAGCAAAAGTAACTCTTATATTGAAGGAAAGCAGGTTTTGAACAAAAATAGCTCTGTCTTCACAGACTGACCAATTTTCAATGGTACTTAAATAAAGGAAAAAAAACCCAATTCTCATAGAGCCTACTATCTATAGATTTAAGAGCAGCTGGTATGTGAACAGCTGGTCTTATTTTGGTCTGATTAAGAATATTGAAACAGTGATATGTTTAGGTAATGGCCTGTTCTCAATCTTAGACTGGAATGGGCATCATTATGTGCCTAGCTGGATTGAAGTGACCTCTCTCATTTAAATAAGGGCTTTTAGAATCGGACTATTAGGACACGCAGAGAAATCATACTGGAGGCTAATTTAGGATCATGGCATACTACAGAATCACTTACTGTCTGCCACAAAATTTCAGGACTGGATCATGAGAACAAGCTGAATGTCCTCTTTATACTTCTCCCATTTGATGCTACTTGATGGCAGAGATATTTAGACCTCAAAAAAAAGGACGAGAGAACAGATGAAGCTGTATCATCTCTCACCTTTGTCCTGGTAGCACGAGCCAGGCCAAGTGTGCCACTTCTGTTATCATCTCTGTCAGCTTCACTGTTTACTGGCTCACTTTGCACGCAGTGACGTTCATTATTTGACATCTGATTGCCCATATGGAAATACCTGCAAGCAAAATTTGCCTATTACACATTCTTCACAATAGTAGTCTATTGATTTATAAAAATTAAATGCTCTAAATGAAAATGTATTTCTTTTCAGTGCTTCTTACTTGCACAAAGAGGCAGCATATATTGCATATATAGTATACAGCATGTACAGCGTATGAAAGTACTACCTTATTCTAGTGTTTGCCTCACACGATCGCTTCAGACAGGGAGCTGACCAATACTGAGTAGGTAACTACTGTTCTTTAGGTGAGCACTTGAAAAAAGTCTGAAAGCACGTTCCTCAAATATGTCGCCAATTCAAAGCCTGGCGTTTCTGACTAGCTAGCTGTCAGTATATGTAAAAGGTGTGTTTATTCCTAGGGTGATATGGCATTGTCAGCTGAGCAATAAATGATTATTTCCAAAAATAAACTGCTTCAGACCTTCAAAGCCAAAGTGGTTTACGTCGGTTGGGGATGAACCCATTCTTCCAAGCAAAGTGGTAGAAAGGGAAATAGGCTGTAACAATCGGCAAAATGATGTTCCTGCTTTTCTAGAAAGTAAGACTGATTTTTTTTTTACTTGTAAAATCAAAATAGAAGACTCGCAGAAGTTTCTACAGGAAAAATATAACACTGTTTTAGTAAGGGTTGACACAGAGTAGCCTATTGTTCATGCTTCAGCATGTTATCTTGTCTGAATACAGCCCTCCAAAAAAAAAAAGATCAATCCATTAAAATGCACACTTTAGCAAGAGGGGGAATTTCATTCAAAGCTGAGTGATCTGATAGTTTCTTCTTCATCTCTTTGTTAAGGTTGGGGGGAAGATGGGAAAGGAAAGAGGATGGTCCCACGTCCCGGAGGACTCTGGGGTGGCGAATTCTAATTGGAACGTAAATAGTGTTTGTGTTATCTGCGGAGACTGGCCCCTGCTTGTTAATTGGCATGCTGAGATCATTTTGCAATGGTTGATATAACACCGTGGTCCATTGAACAGGAAGCTCTGCTGTTTTCACAGTTTGATAATCAATGCATCACTGCACACAATTCCTTTCAAATGTGTGTTTGTTTGTCCTGTTTGCTTAATTGAACAGCTGCAATTACTGTTACATACAACTGAATGTTAATTCAGGGCAGAAGAGATTTTCCTTCTTCATTATAATTTTATGTATAATTTTGAAACTTATATAATATTAAGGATTAATTCAGTGTACAAATCCATAGGTTTAATCAACTAGACACAATATATAATAATTTGTGCTGAAAAAATTGATGAGCAGGTGAGGCTTTTTTTTCCTTATGATTTTTTATTAATGTAGCCTACACCTCATTCGTAAGAACAATTGCTACTTGAAAACTTGTGGAAGAATACAGTATTGCCTTATAAAAAGCTTAATTTGATGAATGCAGCCCACTGCTTTCTCCTGATCTCTGAGACAAATCTTAACAAATACGAATTTGTGGTGGTAGATTTTGCTTAACCCTTCACTGGAATATTCAATATGTATTTAACCCCTTACCTGGAAATACAGCATGACAATAATATTTCAGTCGGTCATTGCTGAATTTTGCAAAACATCGCTTACGCTGGTGTAGCAATACAATTAGAACATGAGTTTGTGTTTCAGGGTGGTTATGCTGCCTACCGGTATGCCCAGCCTGCCACTGCCACTGCAGCTGCCTACAGTGACAGGTAAGAGCTAATGTATTACTAATGAATATTTGACCAGTGGAAGTTGAAAATGATTTTATGAATTTGCCTTGTTTAAGTCTCATAACTGTCTTGTTGCTCTGCAGATAACTGTGATATCTAAAGCAGGCTGTTTTATTATAATCCATGAATAGCCATAAATTGAGAGATTTTGGGCCTTAATTGAGAATCAAGCATGAGACATGCACATTCCCAAGCAGTAGATCATCCGGTTAATGTCTATGACCCTTCTGCAATGTAGATAAATATATGTACAGCTTCATGATGGTCTGCTACTTAAGATCATTATTTGTCTTATGAGTGTTATTTCAGTTGATTTAGAACCCAAACCTACTGAATGCCCTCAGTTCTCATTGACGTTGTTTTAGTCAGTGGAAATTGAGATTGAACTGTATCTAAGCTTGAACTATCTGAGTCTAAACAATTTTTTTCCCCATTTGCTTTCTTTCCAGAGGTTTGATTTTTTAGAATGCTGAAAAAAATTCAGTGTTACACTTCTTTCTAGTATATTTTTAGCCTAAAAATAGAAGTGACATTTGGTAAAAATAATACCAGGAATGAAAGAAAGATTATTAAAATCTGCGTAAGAGAAAAATGGAAGGTCATACTTCTGTAATCTAACAGAGATGTCATAGAAATTAACTCTTCTTCTCACAAGATGCAAATTGTGGTCCTTTTGAAGTCCATGTCTGAATTGCTATTGACTTCAATAGGAATAGGATTTTGTCAAACTGCATAAAAATAAATACACATTAGTCTTTGCAGGGTGTGGACATGATTTTGTAATGAAAAGAACGAATATACTATTTGTTCTTCAGAAGTTGTACCTTTAGCAAAATCTATGCCACTATTAATACTTTTCAAACCCTTGGAAAGTGTACAGTCCTGAAGGAAGGAATGTGTATTTCAAAAGATAGATACCTGCGTATCTTATGGTTCACAATAGCAGCAAGAAGTATGGTTGCACTTCTGTATTCCTGATATAAGAAAATCAGGGAGAAAATTTCTTATCTTGAAATGTATTGAAAAATTACTTCAGATGCTAAATTAGACATTGTTTTTAAATGTTTCTATTTTTTAAATAAATCAACAGATTAAGAAATTTCAGTGAACTGTTTCTTAGACTGAAGTGCTGTTCATGGATTCCGTATTTTTAGAATAAAGTACTCTGGTCTGAATGTTACAATGCTATGCATGCGTACTTGCCGTTCAAATGCTTATTCTGGGTGATGAAGATACATTTCTTAAAGTTATGTGAATAAAACAATTTGCATGTGTGGCTGAGGCATGCTGTGTCAGACAGGTAAGCAAGTTACTTTCTATTAATTTTGGATGAATAAGTATCAAGTAGATACTGCTGTTTGCTCTTTGTTTGCGATGTACTGTTTCTACCTAGGGTAACCTACAAGGCGAAGTGCTACTCCGTAGTTCCATTTCATTTCCACAAAGGCGTGTTGTTAGCATGTCGCAGGTCTAGTATTCTTCTGTGAGCTTACAGTGCAAAACAGTACCTGATTCTAAAAACCTAGTAAACTGAAAGGACAACATTATAAATAACTTCCTTTAGTTAGCCATTTTTTTTTGCCAGATATCCTTCAGGTGTCTCTGGGTCATTTTATAGGGTGCTTATTCCTATGAATAAATGAATTTCTGAAAATCTACATGTTACATAGAGAAACTGAACAATATCAAGATGACTTTTAAATCTTTAATTACGAATTAGTGTACCTTCTCGTGAAACAAATCACATATTCTGCTATTTGTAGAGAGTAAGCACCGCTAAAAGTTACACTGACAAGGAAAAAACAAAGGATTTGTTTCAGAGGAAGACAGTGTTCTTAAATGCTGTAACAGAAGCTTAAGATGGTATCAGTATTAATGCAGTTGTTATCCGTAACTATTTTTTTGAAAAAACTCTCTAGTTTTCAGATGCACTTTGTGTATAATTAGAACTGTAATAGTCTGAGTTTGCTGTATAATTTTAGGTATCTGAAATGAATTTTATATCTTTGGATTTTTTTTAATTTAATTTCTCTTTTTCAATGTGGTTACCCCTCATTTTCAACTTGCTTCCCCCAAATGACTGTGGTATCTTGTCATATTTACAAATATTGCAATTGAATTTCTTTATAGGGGAATCCTAAAGCTAGCATAGGAAACAAAACAGAAGCACCCTACTCAAATATTTCTTTGCGTATGTGAAACTTTATGCAAACATGGATACCTCTGATTACTCACAACTACAATTTGTGTTAATTTTATCAACTTTTCATTGATTTTTTTCACTGAATGTAATTTAGCAACACTTTTGTGAATCATTAGTCCTGTAAGTGCTGAAATACAGTTCAATACAACTGCTTGTATCTCTTCTTCTCAATGTAATAATCACCTGCTATCCTGTGATAATATTGAAGAGTCCATATTTGATTATACACTGCTCCTTTTCAGTGTTGATTTCAGCCCCTATTTAATTTAATTGTAAATGAAATACGCTTACGGCATACGTTAAAACTGTGCCCAGTAAAATGAAGCGAGTGCCAACAAATATCTACTGCTGAGGCAGAGGCATAACATGGAAATAATATTTTATTTAAAAAATTATTTTTTTGGTCAGCGATCATATACGTGATGAATGTCAAGGTTCCATATTTGACCTGTTTCTTTAATTGCAGAGATGGAAAGAGCAAGTCTTTAGATTGGAGACATATTTGGTAAATTAAAAATAAAGGTTGACAGAAAGATTTGGGACTGCAGAATCAATACAGCAAGTCAATGGATAATGATCACTGTAATAGAGCTCTATTGTGAAGAAATGCAATGGTATCCGTGTTTGTCACAGTTGGAATTATTGCTGGGAATAAGCAAAGAACGGATATACAGGGGAGAATCAGGTAGCAAGGAAATCTTGTAAAACAAATGAAAGCAAAACCCTAAGTATTTGTTAAGAAAAATGATGCGCTCATAAAAATAAATTCAGAACCCAAGTAGGCCTTGCAGATATCTCGAGTCACCCCTTAGAGCTGTAAAACAGAAAGAAAACAAAAAACCCAAACCAAAAAAGAGGCATTTTATCTTCTTTGTGAAGCGATATAATCACTGAATGCAACTCAGAAAAAAGTAGGATCAGATTCTTACTCTATGTTATCTATATTAGATTACTCTTAAAGATTTGAGCTCTTTGAGGAATTGGAACAAAAATTTCACCTTTAATTTTCCAATATTTAAAGTGTTATTGATAAATTTTCCATTTCTTATAACTGGCCTATGAGTGTTCTTCACCATTCTGGAGCTTTGCCCCCCAAACTCTTTAAGCTGACACTGTTTGGAAAAATAATTGTATATGCAAAAGACACTAGATCAGATGTCAATAATACATCAGTACAGCTTTTACTTAGCTTTCATGTAATATTTTTAAAAGTATAAATAAAAAATATAGTTGTTAGATTTCTATCCGAGTCTGAAGGAAGGAAAACTAACAAAGTCATCAAATTTTATATTTATGACATAGAACAAGTCGAAGCATGGCAGTGGGGCGTATTGTCATTTTGTCATTGCATGTTCACTTGGTGTTGCTAGTATGTCTGTAATGCTGTATTGGATTTGACAGATTCATCACATAGCTCAGTGAATGGCTTGCTTGAATTAAGCCTATGGGCAGACTTATTCACATTGATTGGCTATTGGTTTTGTGTTTTATGATTTGATTATTGCATCTTTGATCAGAGTAAGAAAAATGTTCCTTTCTTGCATATTAACTTTGTCAGCAACATTTATGAAAGCGTGTACGGTAGTATAATGAAACAAAACCCCAATGACAGTGAATTAGCCTTGTCTGAAAGGCAGTCTTTTCACTTGTACTGCTTGCTAACCCTGTAAAACTTAATGATAATTGTGTGTTTATATATGTATAGTTGTGTATTCATATATATACACACACTTCCCATCCATCGCGTATCCACAAACACACACACAGACACACATACCCATGCACACACACATATATATGTACAAAGGTATTTTGCTCTGAGATTAATTCTCTTTTTCTAATGCAATGTTTAATTTACATCTTGCTACCAACGATAGGACGATTCCCACTGACTTTTTTGGTGTTTGGATTATATCCCTCATCACTGAAAACTGACTTCTTTTTTTTTTCCCCTCTCTTCCTTCCCTTTTTTTAAAAAAGCAAATAACAAGGCATATTCTGAAACATTTTGAACATCACATTTTGTAGTATAAAATATGTAATTTTTTTCCATATCAGTTTGTGTTACATGTTCTTTGGTCATATATAGGATTTTGTACAAAATTTGAGACAGGAGCTCTTGTTGTATAGAAGTTGTGTATCCTCCAGATCTGAACAGTCTTACTCCCTGTAAAATCCTGATATTCCAGTAGTTCACATTTTTAACATATCTATGTAGAGTCTTCATGTTTGTCAGGGTAGTAGTGTCTACAGATAAATAATTTAATATTTTTTCCAGTTCTCTTTGTGAAAGCAATTGAGATTAGTACTTGCTATTTGTAGTCTGATTATTCTAAAATAGAGTACTAGATGCAGATTTGTTTTAATTGAAAACATGCTCATTAAAGGATCAAAAAGTAGAATGAAGAATAAAAATACATAAAGCACAAAATGTGAACTTTTGTAGATGGTGATTTGTTGGATAATGTAGACTTCAAGATCTTCTATTTTATGAATAAAAAATGAATGATAGTAATATAGTTTTATTCAGATTATGTTCTCTTATTGAGGATCTTACTAATGATATATACTAAAAATTAGGGCTTTGACAGCATATAAAATATCATAACATCTTCAGTCAGAGTTTAATTTACCATTAAATAATTTCATAGAAAGATTAATATTTTAAACAGTAGTACTTCAGTCATTTAATGATCACAGTTTTTAAGATTTAGGAGAAAGAGCTTCTATGCACAGTTCTACTTCCTAAAGTAATTGGTTTGGGGGAGGAAAAAGA